TTTAATTTCTTCCACCCCGTCTGGAGACTCAACCAACTCACCCATTTTTGTTGTCGTTCCTTTATTATTGACGATAAAACAACGTGCCTCCATGGCTATGCTGCGTGCAGTTCCAAAGATGTGAGTTGCAGTTTCTCTCTTATTGTTGAATATGAGAGTGTTCCTTGCTTTCCAAAGGATCCAAAGAATATACACGAACGTAGAGCTCCAGGCAGTTCCATCATGCAAGACCTTGTTGCTTTGGCTGTTTTCCTTGATCCAAATGATGATGGGGGAGTAGCTCACGAGATCAGTTGCTCCACCAGCTTTTGCTAAATCCCAACACTCCATCGCCAGGGGGAAATCTCGTAGTAGGTGCTATGCTGACTCTTTGTCAAACCTACAGCTTGAGCAGCTGCTGTCTGTTGTCAGTTGGCGTTTCATCCTCTCCATGTTCGTGAGAAGTTTGTCTTTGAGTAGGAGCCACACGAAGGTCTTGACTTTCTCCACCACCTTGAGCTTCCAAACCCAGGCCTAGCTCTCTTCATCTTGAGGGGTACCTGGAAGAGTGTTATAGGCCGAGCTTAACGCGAATGTACCTGAACTGCGGTCTGACCAGACGAGCCTATCTGTTGTGCTACCGTCAATGGGGATGGGTATGGTTCTAATCTTATTGATGATTTCTTCTAGGAGAGCCTCCCTCAAGGCAACAATGTCCCAGCTGCGGTTAGTTTTAATGAAATCACTCACCAAAGCGTTTGAAAAGCTTTCCGGGATGTCAAGATTTTCATCTAGCCCAAGCGGTTTGTCGTTGATCCACCAGTCATACAGAAAGTGAAGGGATTCTCCATTTCCCGCTCTCCACCGGGCCCAGTTTCAATGACTGATTTTCCCTTAAGAATGCTCTTCCACGTCCAAGAGGCATTCGGGTAAGGGGGGGGGGGGGGGGGGGGGGGGTTGTTGTGAAGAAGTTGTCTGTATGTAGATATTTCTTTCTTAAGGCATTGACCCACAATTTCTCCGGGTTGTTCATAGTTTGCCACGCGAGCTTGGCTAGGAGGGCCAAATTAAAGTCTTTAGCCATGCGGAGCCCCAGTCCCCCTAGATCACGTGGGGTACACACATCTTTCCAGTTGACGGAGTGAATCTTTCTTTTCGGTTGAACCCCAAAGAAAATCCCTGCAAACTTTGTCAATGTCATTACACGTATCTGTTGGAAGCGCCATGGATTGCATGGTATACACGGGTATAGTAGCTAAAGCCGACTGGACCAGAATTCTTCTACCAGCCAAGCTTAAGAAAGCAGTTTTCCAGTTTGCTAATTTATTGCGCATATTGTCAAGTATATAGGAGAAGTGATTCCTAGTGACTCTTTTTTGAAGAATGGGGATTCCAAGGTACTTACCTAAGTTCTTAGTGACCGGGATGTTGGACGAGGACCCCACTAACCGTTTAACCCTGTTAGGGGTATTGGGGGAGCAGTAGATGAGAGATTTAGACAAATTAACATGCAAACCTGACCTCCGGGAGAACTTCCCCAAGCAATCCATGATGACCTTTGTTTGTGTTTCTGTGGCCTCCTCGAGCAGCATCAGGTCATCTGCAAAGAAAATATGGGATACACTAGTACTTCCTCTGCTTAAGGTGATATGTTTCCATCTCTTGTCTCTAGTTTCCACTTGGATGTTCATGAAAAGTTTCTCCATGGCCAGGATGAAAAGGTACGGAGCTAGTGGAGGATCTCCTTGTCTCAGGCCTCTCCCCGATGCGAACTTTGGCAGCTTACCCCCGTCCCAAAGAATCCCAATCGTGCTTTCTTTGAGAGAGAAAAGAACAAGACTAATCAACCGTTTAGGGAACCCAAAGTCCTTCAGGGTTTGTTCAAGGAAGCCCCAATCGATGCTATCATAAGCTTTGTGAAGATCCACTTTCATCACAAGGGAACCTTTTTTACCTCTCTTATTTCTCATTCCATGCATGATTTCTTGAGTCAGGACAATGTTGTCTAAAGTGGACCTCCCTGGTAGGAAACTGTACTGTTTTGGTGGGGACCCACGAGTTTATCCATTAGCGATCTCAACCTGTTAACAAACACTTTGGAAATAATCTTGAAAACCACGTTAAGCAAGGTTGTAGGTCTAAAGTCCGCGGCACTCTCCGGATGATCTTTTTTGGGAATAAGGGTGACAAACAAATCTAGAATACCAACCGAGATCCTACCTGTGATCAAGGCTTCGTTGACAAGATCGATGATGGGATTGCTTACAATGTCCCAGAAGTCTTGATAGAAAGCAGCTTTAATTCCATCGGGCCCCGGGCTTCCAATTCTTTTCATGCCAAACACCGCTTTTCTAACTTCTTGAGTGTTGGCAATGCAGATCAGACTTGCAACTTCGGTTGGGTTTAGGCTATAGCCGTGGTGGTCATCTGTATTATTCTACAATATATATATATATATATATATATATATATATATATATATATATATATATATATATATATATATATATATATATATATATTTAGGTTCTCGTGCGGGTGAGGGCTTCAGGTGCGGTTGTGCGGTTTAATCTGAGCCATTCATCTCGCTTTAATCAACGTCCAGGATTATCAAAGTTTTAAAAAAAACGCGGTGACAATTTTGTAATTTTTGCATCTAGGTCAGAATTAAGGTGAGCGGATCTGTGATTAATGTGCGTGAGTTTTGTGCTTAATTTGCGTGTGTTTTGTGCTTAATGTGCGTGAGGTTTGTGCTTAATGTGCGTGGGGATGTGCTTAACGTGAATAGTTGTTAAAACTTAAAGTCTGTGAGTGAATACTTAAAGTGCGTGAGTTTTGTGCTTAATGTGCGTGATGTTTGTGCTTAATGTGCGTGAGTTTTGTACTTACTGTGCGTGAGTTTTGTACTTAATGTCAGTAGTTGTTGAAACTTAAAGTCTGTGAGTTAATATTTAAAGTGCGTGGATTTTGTGCTTAATGTGCGTGAGGTTGTGCTTAATGTGTGTGGGTTTTGTACTTAAAGTGCGTGAGTTTGTGATTCAGATCTAACACTTAAGGTGCACCTTAGCTTATACTTCTTTGTTCCAGGCACGCATTTTTTTTTTTTTTTTTAATTTTCATTGATTTGAGCCGTTGATCTAAATTTGATCAACTGCTCAGATTTAACCGCACGGGAAGCTATACCCGCACCTGAACCCTTCCATATATATATATATATATATATATATATATATATATATATATATATATATATATATATATATATATATATATATATATAGACTTGCACTCGGGTGCGAACGGCTCGCCCAGGCGCGAAACAGGAATGAATTCTGTTCGTCCACGTGTCCAGATCTAATGGATGAGAAACACTGATTTAAAAAAAAAACGCGGTGGCATTTTTGTAAATAATTGAACATCGAAGTGCAAGTAAAATGTATTACAAGTGCATGTAAAATGTACTATAGGTGCAAATAAAAATTTACACTGAGCATCAATACTTAGTTGCACTTATAGTTCTAAGTATTTGCACACATAGTTCTAAGTAGTTGCACAAATAGGTATAAGTAGTTGCATCTAGGTGTATGAATGTTTGCGAGTGGTTTTCAGAACTATTACTACCCGCTGACTCAGATCAATGAATGTTAACAAGGCAAAATTACATGCACTTATAGGTGAAATTAGGTGCACCTATAGTTATAAGTAGTTGCACCTATAGTTATAAATAGTTGCACATATAGTTATAAGCACACCCAGGTGTATGAATGTTTGCGGAAAGTGAATGCTAACAAGGCAAAATTACATGCACTTATAGGTGAAAATAGGTGCACTTATAAGAGATTTTACTTGCACTTCGATGTTCAATTATTTACGAAAATGTCACCGCGTTTTTTTTAAGTAATTAGATCTGGACACGTGTCGCGCGCTGATTCGTTCGCATTTCCTTCCTGGGCACTTATTCGCACCTGAGTGCGTCCCTATATATATATATATATATATATATATATATATATATATATATATATATATATATATATATATATATATATATATATATATATATATGATCACATCAATTCTACAATAAATTACAGAATGATACTTAAACTTGAAGAATTAACTCTTTGGTAAATAACATTGAGCATCAAATTTGAGGACCCAAAATATGGGTTGCTTGTCGAATTGATCCGATATCGGGACTCAACCGCAAAATTACGAAAAGTTGTTTATAATAAAGAAATCACGGTGTCTCCGAAGTCCGAATGCCATGTGGCGTTGACCATATTTTGATTCTTACCTATCCAAAGAGATCATCGTCGCCCTTGAACAATTATAACTATTTTATGGGAAACACGGCGACCACATGGCACTGACAGCCAATTGTGTTATGCTTATCCTTATCCACTATTATTATAATTATTATTATAAGAATGATGATTATTATTATTACTACTATTATTATTAATTTTACTTTCCCAAATGGTCTGACGAGCAATGAAAATTCCGACATTACACGAACACCCGGCAAGTGAAACTAATCAAATCAAACTCCATTCACCAGAACAATTCCTTCAGAAATATTACTATAGACACATATTTTTGAAATTCAAACCTCACTATTAATTATCTTTATAATTAACGATGTAAATCATATATTACTCTTTTAAAGAGTTTTTAAGTCCAACTTTTTGTTATTACAATCTCACTGCTTTAAATTAATTTCCAAAAATATTTTATTCAACCTCGCATATCGATATCGCTCCAATGATGTCAAATGTGCTGCCGTACCCCATATATACAAAAGCATGTATCATATGAAAAATATAACTCATATAGTTGCATACACGTATATATTAATATATAAACATTAGTAACTACTGTAACATATAATACATCAATATAATATATTCACATTTTTTGTGTGAAATTTTATGTGTATATAAAACTTTTTCTTTAAATCACCATATAAAAACCTAAAACATCATTGGATTATAGAAGAATGATGTTTTACAAGCAAGGGATTAGGGATGGAAACAACAAGTTTATATATACCAATTACCAAGTACATGATTAATTATTTGCCCGGCTACCTCCCTAGACCGTCTTCCCTCCGGCATGTCTTCGTCAAGCATCGATTATTCCGTTCGACTGCCCGACTCTACCTATCTACCTGCATGACTGACTATTTCCATATCTCTGTCAACCTGTCTATTAGCATGATTGTTGCGCCCACCTGACGACTAGACAATGCTCATCCGACTGGTACCCTACCTTTCATACTCGGTCTATTCGCCGACCCTACCTATCCTCCCCTACCTAGTCTGACTGGGTGTGTGCCCTTCCCATCACGTGTAATACTTTGTAGTTAAAATATAATATATTTTTTATGCACTAATGAAATATATTACACTTTAACCAAAAAAAAAATTACATGTAATCTCGCAGTGATACGGCCTCACAGAAGACTTATTGATCAATATTAATGTTTCCAGAGTGTAAGATCAATACCATCTCCTTCATCGTCCCAACTGAACCCTTTCTTCATCGCCGGCGGAGTAATAAGCATGCCCTCCGCCATGTTGTCCAGTAACGCCGGCAGGTTGAACACCGCCTCTTCATCCAAAAACGTCGACGCATTGCCGAAAAAATCAAGTCCCGGCAAATCAATAGTTCTCGAGCTCGAAGCCGCCTCCGCGGAGTGATCTCGACTAATGCATGGAAACTGCGGAGGCGGCGGCGGCGGAGCATTGGCGAGTTGAAGGGCGGCGGCTCGGATATCCGCCGGAGAGCACGAGGTGGCGCGAGGGAGCGACTCGGCGGCGCCTGGGAAGTTCAAGGCCGCCGCTTCTCCGCGGAGCGCCAGTGCGGCGACGTCGTGAGCCCTAGCCGCCATTTCCGGAGTCGCGAAGGTTCCTAACCATATTCTCGACTTCTTATTCGGCTCGCGAACTTCGCACACCCACTTGTCCTCGTTCCGCCGCCTCACGCCTCTGTACACCGGGTGGCGCGTCTCCCGGAACTTCTTCCTCCCCGCCCTCCGCTTCTGCAGCACCGGCGCCGCCTGATCGCCGGCGATTTCTTGAGAAGACGACGGCGACGAAGAAGGAGAAGAAGAAGAATTTCCATCATTTTCAAAATCCATCTGAAAAAAAATAAAAATTGCACTGAAAGTGTTTGATCGGAGGATGCAATCATGCATGAGTGGTGACACTGAAATATATACATGGAGTCGTTTGTTTTTGCGCGGTTTAAAAAACACGTGCAAAACGGGATTTTTAACACGTGAGGGGAAATATTTTTCTACACAGCTAAAAAACAAGCACGTGCTTAAAAAATGGGAGTGGGGTCTGTGGAGGACGGTAAGTGAGGAATCGATTGATATTATTTAATTAGTATATTTATTTATTATTTACTGAGTGATTTCAGACCATTTTCCAGCTCGTGCTAAAAAAACAACAAAAGTTAAATAAAATAATTTTAAATTGAACTAAAAAATAAAGAATAATTAATGTCGACAATTCGATATTTGTTAGGGTGTTGAGTTGATTAATTTCGAACCGAAAAAATAAAAATCGAATTAGATTTCTGTCAATCAACCAAATTAACTAAAATCATATTATACTAGTTATATATAATATATAATATAGATTTTTGAAATTGGTTCCATCGCTTTTAATTGCACCCAAATTGGTCCTCTAATTATTGAAATTTAAGTCATATTGGCCCTCCGTCAACATTGGTTTTAAATTGGCATAAAAATGAAGGGCAAAATGAAAAAATCAGCTCATTTACTCCATTTTTTTTTTATGGAAGCATAGAGAGGGCTAAGCCCAAGGGTTACAACAGTGAACAGTTAGGGTAGTCTCACAACTATAGCTGGCACCGACCCTATCATACCACAGCAATCCTTCGATAAAAGACAGTTGGTCCTCAAGGACCTGAGTCCCTAGCCCATGGGCCAGGGCGGCCGACGCGAGCTTATCAGCGACTTTGTTACGTTCCCGGATGATGTGCTTGAACTCCACCACATGGAAGTCGCCAATCGCCTGAACACAAAGCTTCACGATATTGCATCCTTTACCATCTCTACGGCTGGCCGTAACACACCTGATTGTGCTTAAAGAATCACTCTCCACCACCAGTCTCCTGGCTCCTCGTTTGGCCGCCAAACGCAATCCCACCAGAATAGCCCAAGCTTTAGCTTCTTCAATCGAGCAGGATCCTATGTTGTGCGAAAATCCTTGTATCCAATTCCCTAGATGGTCGCGTGTCACACCCCCACATCCAGCCTTTTTGGTCGCCGCTTTGTAGCATCCATCGACATTGAGTTTCCACCATCCCCGTGGTGGCTTTGTCCAAGCCGCCGGCTCATTGCCAGTCCGATCCACGGTCTTAGGCGTCCATTTGTTCCTAAAAGCCTCCCGTATATCGCATTGCTGACTCATGATCCAACCCTTCTTCTGTTCCAGGCTCATTCGTTTGCCTTCAAAAACCCTTGCATTACGCCACCTCCAGCACCACCACATTCCTATCCTAAAAAGCTCCGGCCAATCTCCGTCAAACCCCAACCCCTCCTCAGCTCTCAGATTGATCGACAGCCAGACCTTCCAACCCTTTGTTCTGAGCATGTGCATGCCTTCCCGAGGCAAAAACAACTCCCAAAAGCCAGTCACTTCGACGAAGTGACGGAATATGTGATCCAAACTCTCCTCTGTACCTGCACAAAACGAACAATGAGCATTAGTCGAAAATCCCCTTTTGACGCGTTCCACATTAGTCATTAGCTTCCTTTGTTTTACCAACCATAGAAAGTGGTTTATTTTGTTAGGGAGCTTAATCCTCCAAATGTTTCGCCAGTCCTTATCCACAATTCCGTCACTCTCCCTCTCAGAGTACCGTATGCTGAGCAAATAGAAAATTGACCATTCAGTTCCATCCCCCCAGCCCTAGTCATCCTCCGCCTCATCCTCATCTAGCAAAACAAAGGCGTGCAATTTCATCGTCCAAGCGTCGTCTAAGACACCTTGTAACAGCTCTCACCTCCAACCTCTTTCCTCATCCCAATAATCCGTAACGGTAGTGTACAACTCTAGCAAGTTCATTGGCTTCTGCATGTAATTGTATAGCCTATGCCCGCACACCCATTTATCCATCCAAAACCTCGTGGTCCTCCCATTCCCAACCACCTTTGTCAGGCCCTTCTCCAGAAGTGTAGTGGCACTGCAGATTCCCCGCCAAGCATTTGACACACTCTGTTCGCCTGGCACAGTCCATTGTCCATCTCCCGCTCCGTATTTGGTTGCGAGAACCTGAGCCCATAAGTTGTCGCATTTTGTAGGCATCCTCCATCCCAACTTCGCCATGAATGCGGTATTCACCTCCTGGAGCTTACGCAACCCCAAACCCCCTTCTAGCTTTAGTTTCGTCACCTTCTCCCAATGAACGAGACTGACTTTCCGTGCCTCTCCATCCCCTCCCCATATGAAACGACGTGTGAGCAACTCCAGCTTCTAACAAACTCCCTTAGGCAGACCATAGATTGCATTGTATAAATGGGAATGGCTCCTAGAACAGACTTCGCCAATGTAACTGTAACACCCCTAATTTTTTTAAAACTTTTAAAACTGATGGAATAAAGGCAAATCTATTATCAATTCCCGAACAGAGCATAAACTAAACATAATAGTCGGGGTGCTATGCCACACCTGAGCTAGAGAACTCAGATGCACAGGCTAAACTAACTAACAAAGCGTAAATAATATCCAAATACAAATCAAGGCACGCATGCCATCTCATCAAGGCTAGAACTATCTAAACTAAGTCCACGAATCCAACTAGCGCGCTCCGAAGCTACTCAACTGCTCCTGAAAAAACATTCGGTGTAACAACCGTCAACGAATAATGCTGGTAACCCACTCCAACGCGTTAAGTACAATATAGGTAGATTTAAGAAATCATTTTGAAACTAGAATACATATATACTTACGAGACTCTAATTTAAATCCAAGATCAAGACTCAAGATACAACATCAGACCCGATAATAAAGAACAATCATAAAGACTAACATGCGTCCTAAGAACACGATACAAGACATAATAGACAGATAAGCATATAAATAGTAAGTAGGGTCGATAAAGGAATTCAAGACAGTTAATTAGCAAGTAAACATCAAGGCACACAATCCATCTTCCAACCTTATACCAAGTTCCAACCTTGTAACTCCCCTCCGTCCTTATATTAGTTCCAACCTATACCTCCAGGCCACCCTTATATCGCCTCCCTTATTCCTCTGGGCAACTACATTCCCCCACCGACAAACCACCTATCAACTACCAACATATCAAGATAGCACCGCAGTGCCATTCGCATGATCCGTACCTCTAGTACCAATACCAAGGGGTCAGCGCATATAGCCCCAACATGGCACCGCAGCACTTATAACCTGACCCATGCTCAACGGCAAGCAAGTCAAAGGTGGGTTTGTTCCTTTAGCACAGTAACCGCTAGGCCTGTACCTTTAGTACAATGACCGGGTGTGACACCACGTAAATCTAAATGTTAATTGGGATTAATTAAGAAATTAATCCTAGCCTTCCTTGGTAATTCCTTCCCAAAAATCCTGAAGTTTAATAGTCGAGGGACTAGAATTTGACTAGTCACTTAAGTCAAACAAGTGTACCCTATGCTTTATGGTTTGTACCTTTACCCTCTTGTCTTTCCAACCTTAGTAAGGGTAAAAGAGACCTTTCACCCATGAATTGTTGATCAAGCTATCCCTAGCAAGTCATTCCTTTCATTCTCTCATACTAGCCTAAATCCCAAACACTCTATCATCTCTCTAAAAAGAACCTAACTTATTCTTCAAGCAAAAAGGAGAACCTTCTAGCTTTGCAAGATCCCACTCCAAGATTCCTACTTTCTTATTCCCAAGCATAGGAAAGGGTAAGGTTCATAGCTATTTAGAGTTTTTAGTCATCTTTTGGGTGTCTTTATCTAAGATAGAATCTTTCTTGTGTTTTGGCTTGTGTAAGAAGTTGTTGGAGAAGAGGAACTCTAAGAAGAGGCTTAGGATGGTGAAAAGGAGAAGTTGTTAAGCTACAAAGGTAACCCATGCTATACAAAACCTATTTTCTTACCTAAATGATTATTATTGGTTTCTATTTGATGTTCTTGATGTGATTTGTGAGATTTGATGCATGATCTTGTGATGATGCATGTTTAGAGCTTGTATTTAGGTTTCTTGAATGCCATTTCTTGGCTATTTCTTGGGTTCAAGTCATATCTTTGTTGTGTGTGAGATTTTGGGTGTTTTGGACTTGAACTTGGCTTTGTTGATGAATTTCCCCGAAGGGAAAATTGGTGTACAGGTAGTGTACCCCGCGGGCAGTGGCCTACTCGCCGCCCCACCTGCGGGGAACAGGCTGGTGTGGGGAGTGTACCCCGCGGGCAGGCCTATGGGTGGGGGCCTACCCGTGGCCCCACCCGCGGGGAACAATTGTTGATGGTGCGGGGATTTGTTCCCCGTGATTCTTTTCTTCTTGGTATTGATGTTTTGACCTCCCGTTGAATTATTGAGCTGTTTGTGACTCTTCTTGATGTTTCGTATGTCTAGAATGATGTGTTAGAAATCCATGTTAGGATTTGGTGTCTTGAATCGTGCTAAGGGTCCAACCTTGTGATTCGTTGGGCTAATATGAGTCTTGAAGGTTCGTTAGAACCATTTTGGTTTACCCGCTTGAGGAGCATGCTAGTTTGATGTTGTTATGCTAGTATGTGTGGTTTGTTCCTTCTTATTGGGGTTGGCAACTTGCGTCGTCAATCACTTTGATGTTGGGTTATAATCCTTGATTGTTGAGTATTGCTCATGTCTTTGTTGAGATCTCTTGATTGATTCTTATGATGTGATCTTGTACAAATCGTTGTACCCTTTGTTGATACTTGATTGGCGCTATTGATGAGCCTTAGTCTTCTTGATGATGATGACTATGTGCGAATATGAATGAGATTGGTGGTTTGTTACTTGAGCTTTGCTCACATGATCGGTGGTTTGTGACTATGATATTTAATGGTACCCTCGTGTACTAAGAGTTCGGCGGTGAATGATTGGCGGTGTTGGTGGGGGACGACGGTCCCAGGCGGAATAAGGTTGGACTCAGAAGTACAGGG